TGGTATAAGATTTATACATATATTATACACGTGAAATTAGAATTTTAGCTGTGTTGAGTGTCAACAACTCTTACTAACGAACAAAGTTTAATAGTGTAGTCATTATTACCTATTATGCATAGAAACTGCTAGTTTCATTAAGTCAGATTTATTAGCTCTACAACATCTCTCATGTTGTAATGAGAAAAGTAATATAAATGAATAAGAATCCTTTGAAACAAAACACTGCAACTTGTTTCATTTCCTCAACCTGTGCCTTATTGATTGCGAGTACCTCTTTGACTTAAGGGAAGTCAACAGGTAAATAAAATAATAATAATTTGTAGACAGACGACCATACTAAGTACTCATTCGCACAATAATAACAATTATGTATATGTCGTAAATTTATTTCTCTTTGTTATTGTATACGGTCTTAAATTTTATTAATAGAAAATTCTTATATTTGTGAGTAAGCTATTGTACAAAGTAAAACAGTTGTTGTAGTTGAGGCATCTATAAAGGCAGTGTAAAAGAAAATAAGCCATTACAAAAACGTATTAACATATAAAAAAGGTAAAAAAAATTTTCAAAAAACTTCGTATGACAACTATGTTGGAAATCATATGATTCTTAATAATCAAAGTCCTGCTAGAATCAAACTAATAGTCTTCCAAAAAATTAACCCATAACTAGGCGCCCTAAAAGAAATTTAAAAATTTTTTTGATCAGCTCTTTTCGTGGTAGTCACGTCAATAAAAATGTATTTTTCATCTTCTTTTCATCTTTTTCTTTTGCTTTTTCATTTGTCTTTTCTTTGTCGCTTTCTCTTCCTTTTCCTTTCGTTTGCATTTTCGTGTTTCCTTTTCTTCTTTCTCTGTATCTGCAGCTTTCTGTTTCTGTTTCGCTTTCTCTTCATATTTTTCCTTTCCTACTTCTTCTTTTTCTCTTATTTGTCATTTTCTTCTTGCTGTTTCGTTTTAGTTTTCTTCTTCTATTTATTTTTTCTCTTTTTATTAATTTTTCTTTTCCTCTTCCTTTTCTTTTTTTCTTTACCAACAAAATAATTACTGTTTTTTATCAGCGTTTTTCATATCGGATAACAAAATTCTCTACGTACAGTCGCAACATATCTTGCGTTGTTTGCGAGATATCAGCAGTGAAAGTATCAATTAAATTTTCCACTGCTTTTTAATTTTTTTTTTTTTTGATCGGCACAAGATGTAGATGAAGCAGTTTTGGCAAAAATAGAATTTACAAGATTTGACATTCAGAAAATATTTTTTAGAATATTGGAACAATTTTACATGAGTTTCGTGAAACCGTATAGCCAAAATAATGGTCGCTAATTGACGAAGTTAAAGCTATGAAACCAAATATTGGTATTTTATAACCCAGCTATAACGATTTTACGAGGTTTCTATCAAACGAATTTCAGTACAGATTTTACATTTTTCTTTCTGTTATTTTTTTCCACTTTTTCATTTTTAATTTTGTTTTTCATATTAATTTTAATAAAATATGTTTATTTCCAATCCTAAATTAAACGGATAATTATGTGACATATCAGAAAGAAATGTCAGTTAATTGAATTTTCGCAGTGGACAACCCCCGAGAACAATTATTACTAGTTTTAACTACTACCAAAGGTTTACAAGAAAGAGTGAATTTAGTTTTTTTTGGAATTTCATATTTAATTCGCAGTCCGATAAGTAAATCACGAAGTTGGTCGGAAACTGTGGCAAATAAATGATTTATAATTTAAGTTAGAGTCGGCAGTGGTTCCGCATTTTGTTAGATGACAATATTGATTTAGTGATTACGCGCGTAGGAGGCCGAGGCCGTACACAGAACAGTTCAAGCGACGTGGACAGATCAGGGAAGCTTTAGTGACTAGACAGACACAAGACCAGACCACTGCCAGACGGACACGACGCAACGTGGCTGTTTTGATGAGAAATGATACACCCTCCAAACGCCTTTGCTAGTCAAAGATTATTTTTAGCTATGACTATCGATTTCTAATATTGTATCTTATGTATGTACGACTATACTACACTGAGCGAAATTCGTTTTAATGTTGCTTGACTTTTGTGGCTACGTTTGTTGTATTACTGAAATACATCTTTTAAACATATTTTTAATTGATTAATACTAATATTAATAATATATTTGTTTTCAATAAATCAGTAAAATAAATAATTATTTCATGGTTCGACATCTAACAGATATTCAAAAATTTCGAATTGTTTCTAAAATTGAAGATGGTTGGTCCATAAGAAGACTTGCTGCTGAATACAATGTGAGTAAAACCACGATAATGAGTGTTAAAAAGCAATGGGAAACCAACCAAGCGGTATCCCGTAAAGTTGGTTCCGGTAGGCCCAGAAAAAGCAATAATCAAGAAGATGAAAATCTTATAAATTACCTAATAGAAAACCCTTTTCAGACTGCAGTAAATGCAATTTCAGAGACAAATTTCCCTGCTTCGGTATCTACTGCTTGCAGAAGAATAAAACTACAAAGCGACTTGAAGAGTTGTTCAGCGGCTAAAAAATACAAACTGTCAGAAGAAAAGAAGCAGGGTAGGATTATTTTTGCACTCAACTATATAATCAATGATGAAAACTTCTGGGGACAAGTTGTCTTTTCTGACGAAAAGGTTTTTAAATCCTGTAACGATGGACATGTTCGCGTATATAGGCCTCTTTCCACTAGATACGACGAAAAATATACTTTCGATACACAAATATCAGGAAGGTTTTCAGTCAATGTCTGGGCTTGGATGAGCCTAAATGGGTTAGCTGTGTGTTGAAACAGCGGTGGTCATCTCAATTCCGTTAAATATATTGGGGACTAATGATGAAACATATATGAAAATTAAATAACCATCCAAATAATGCCCAAGAATTGGAAGGGATAATTGAAGACGCTTGGGAGAACTTGTCGCAAGAAGTTGACCTTGCAAGAAATCTGAGTTTGTCCATGCCTGCAAGACTTCAGGCAGTTTTAGACGCTAATGGAGCAATGACAAAATGTTAATTAATTCTGCATTACGTAATTGAAGTTCATTTATTTTATTTTTTTATTGTATTTTTATGTTCAGTTTGCATTGTTTACATTTTTTTTAATCTCAAGTGGTATTTTTGTGTTCTTATTTTAAAAATAGAATTATCATTATTCAGTTAGTATTTTAATTACAACCATTAGTAGAATTATCCGTAACAAATATTATTTTTTTAAACAATAATATGGCAGGCTTGAAAATGTTTTGAAAAAGTTATTTTCTAATTATTTTTTAAAATTCCATTTGAATAAAATAAAAGAGAAAGGTTTAATAAGTTTAAAAACACAAAGAAAACCGATCTCCTCCAAAAAGCCCAAGTCCGGGGTAAATCACCTCTTCTCCATCCCCCTCTCGACATGCCTGGCCAGCCCTATTTACAGACATGTGCACACAACTAAACTATTAAGATTTTCGATTACAAGAGTTGTACCAGTTTTTTTTGAAATCCAGTGTACAATAGTTTAACTGATTGAGTACTAATGTTTCACAATGCAATTTTTTGTACCACAGTCTATGTAACCTCTTTGTGGATATAAAAGTTTTTTTCTTCAAGCGTATAACAATACTTACATTATATATTGCAACACGTCCTCGAGAAAGAGCCTATTTTTGTACTAATACAAATATTTTTAATTTTTTTCCTAGGACAAAAATGAAACAATGTACACTGCTGTGCAAAAGTAAGTAGGACAGTGACAGTAGTGGTATAATATATATGTAATATATATATAATGGTATAATGTAAATGTAACTGCTTTTCCACGCAGATAATTTACTAATTGCTGATCGTATTCAACCATCATTTATTCTCCGTCTCCCAGTTAAAGGCCTTCTTTGAATACTCCTTTCTTCTTATCTCGCTTTTTAACTCTTATAGGTACAGTGCTGCCCTACTTAGTTTTACACAAAGAATTAAAAAATCCAAGTAGCTATGACTTGTCATAACTGTAAGTTTTAAATTTCACGTCGGGTCGGTTTTCAAATGTAAAACAAGAAATGCAGTGCACACCACCTGAATTACTTGAAATTGCAAATTCATCAGTGGCAACATTAATTCCCGCGAAATCCAAAAAGTTTACGGTAATGCGTATGATAAATTTATAAAATGGGCCAAGGACAACAATGTACACATGTATTCGGAAAATGTGATGATAGCATATTTTACACACACACACATACATATATATATATATATATATATATATATATATATATATATATATATATATATATATATATATATATATATATATATATATATATATATATATATATATATATATATATATATATATATATATATATATATATTGTTAAATTCGTTTTCCGGGTATACTCCCGCGTAGGTGATAGGCCCCGAGAGGGACCGTGGTTGTCTGAACGACGTTTCGGCAGAATCTCAGATGCCATCTTCAGGTTCTAACCGATAACTGCTTACTGCGGCTTCTGGTTACTCGAACTGAAAACGAATTTAACATTCACCACCCGCGAAAACCTGAAAAATTATATATACATATATATATATATATATATATATATATATATATATATATATATATATATATATATATATATATATATATATATATATATATATATATATATATATATATATATATATATATATATACACAATACTCAATGGTAAAATCTAAATTAAACATCGAACACAATGTAAAAATTGACAACTATTCTAAATTAATAGCCTTCTTAAAGCGACAAGGCGAAACCTAAAAAAGTCAAAAGTTTTGTCTAAAGAAGAGTTTGATGAATTCCTTAATAAAGCACCTATAATGATAAATATTTAGCAACAAAGGTATGTACTCATTTTAAAATATATATTTAACCCATTCATATATGTAATATAAAATTTTGTTATAATTTGTGAAATTCCAGTTATTTTTTATCTATCCGCTATGAAAATAATAGATAAAAAGAATTGAATGCTTTGATTAAGTCCGGATATAGCTCAGTGGTCAGAGTATTGGACTCATAATTTGAAGGCCTGGGTTCGAATCGTGTACTTTTAACTTTTTATTTTTGCTCTCTTTAACTTTATTTTACTTTTATAAAATTAATATAGTATATTTTTCAGGTTGTACTAATATTTGGAGTCACAGGAGCTTGTAGATGCGATGAACTTGTTCATATAAAAGTTAATGATATATAAGATTTGGGAGATTTAATCTTAGTAAATATTCCCAACACAAAAACTAAAAACATCTCTCATTTACTATAATTAGAAGAACCTCGGCAACTATCTTAGTTGATAATGGTGGAGATATAACAACCCTAAAGCGACATGGTGGATGGAAATCCACCAGCGTTGCTGAAGGATACATTGAAGAATCTGTAAACAACAAGAAACAGATAGCGATGAAAATACTAAACCCATTAGAGTATAATGAGCCCAGTACTTCAAGTCAAACTGAAAACGTTTTTACTGAAGAATTTTCTGCCAATAATGAAAGAATTTTCAACAATCAAACTGACAATCTTATTACAAGTAATGTATTCGACAGAACTATGAATCTAGAAACAATCACAGCCAGCAGTGCATTAAACGTAAGCAACTGTATTATACAGAATTGCACATTTAATATTCATGTTAATAAATAACGGTTTTGGAAAAAACTATAAGTAATATAGATTTTTATGTTTAAGAACTAAAAATTTTATACTTAATTATAATTCCAATTAAAGAAAAAATGTTACCTATGTTTAATTTATAAATAAAGTGGTTAGTATTACCAATATTTTATTTTTTTTGCCAAAATTTAACATATTTGATGTCATTTTTCGAAAAAGGCGCAATTTTTTTATTTTGACGCTTAGAAAAATAGTATATGTCACTTGGAGTAGAAGGCACATTATATGTTTCGCCCAGTTGCTCAGCCTCGACTTTGAGCAAACTTCTGGGCTCAACATGTAATGTTCGCCTTCTCCTCCTAGTAACATAATATACTATTAGGTTGAATATGCTTTTTGGGTGCTTGTTTTCTAAACCTTAATATATTGTCCAAAACTGGGCCAAGATTCTTAGCACTTTGAAAAATTTGCAGAGGTGATCCCCCATCTGAATATTTAAGTAATTTTTCAAATTAGGTACATAATGCATTGATCAGTAATTAATAAATGACAAATTCGCTGGTATATATACTGAAAAGCAAGGGACCCGAGATGCACCCTTGTGGGACGCCGGCAGTAATATCTCTTGATTGTGACACTTTATAAGAGAATCTAACAAGTTATGAGCGCTCCTGCAAGTACGACTGAAGCAGCAAGGTACCTTCAATAATTAGTGATTTACAATGTCGAAAGCCTTGCTAAAGTCAAGTAATACTAATGCTGTATTTTCATCATCATCAGTTGCTTGGATAATGCCATACGTAATATTCAATAAAACTGTCGTGCCAGATCTAATCCCGACTGTAGAGCCAGCAGTATATTATTAATTTCTAAACGTTGTCGTATTTCAATTTCAATTAATATCTCTCCAACTTTTTGACATTCGAGCTAAAACACTAATGGGTCTCAAACATCAATAATCTTTAGGGTTATTTTTGTTGGGTAATGAAGTAAATACTTCCAAACTGTAGAAAATTCACATTCAATGAACATACTGTTGATAATATGAACACTAAATTTTAAAATATAAGGACAACATAGTTAAATAAGATTTATCCAATAGACTCAGAATCAGGCAAAGAATTTTTCCGATTTTTAATAACGTTCTGGAAGAAGAAACAAGAGTGAAATTGAAAACTGAGTTACAAATTTTATTTGTATCATATCATAATAATTAATCATGTTATGATATACATACACTATCTAAGAAAAAAATATTCCCTACGTCTGGGTCCCAAAGTTCAGTCTAAAGATATTTGAAATTTTTATTTCTACCTACATAAGTAAAGTATGCTTGCTTTTCTGTTGATAGGATATGATTTGTGACATTACGGACTTGTTTATAATATTGCCACTTTGGTTGGGATGTGGAGAGTTTTTATATTCTGTATTTACCTTATCACGTTGCCTCATTATCAGTTTAATGTTATCAGTTAACCATGGGGCTTTTTTTAGTTATATGTACAGTTTTTAATGGGAAATTTTTGTTAAAAAGTTCTAATAATACAACCTAATTTGAACTACTTTTAGTAAAGACACTGAACTGTTAAATATATTGATATTTTATACTCTAATGTTAACGTGATCGTTTGGTGGTTAAGGCTAAATCGCAAAAAAATTCAAGAAGTTTTTACAATGAACTTTATTTAGAATAATACAAAATTTCTGAATACATTTAACGTTTTTATACTAAGTGGAAATAAGTAACTAGGTTAAGAAATATTATTTAGTTCCCACACCTTCAATTGCAACATCATCGTGATCCATTATTTATAACGTAATGTAATAACAGTTTGCAACTTTAGCAAGTATTTTCTCGCATAAATACACAAACAATTACCGCAAACTTCCATCAACGAGGAATAGTCCGCAAACAGAAACAATAACAAAGCACTTACTAAAACTAATTAATAGAAGTGTAATTATGTAAAATCACGTGCATTGTTTAGTATTAGTTGAACTTCGAAGTAACCTTAAACAATAAGAAATAAAATGTGCACGTTTCAGCGATCTGGAATTTCAAATATTGGAGACGAGTTTGCAGTTCCCGTGTAATTTGGGCAGCTCAAAGCTTTGTTTGTCAACTTGTTTTTACAGGCAGCGTTTGTTTCTGGCAATGCACATGAAGACGACTTTGTAATCAAAAACGTCCTCGGAATAACCAAACTCTAATGGACAACATAATTATTGCTTCCAATTCTGTTATAGAAATGTAGCAAAAGACCAATTGTAAGTTGTGACAAAAAATATTGAAGAGTTTTTGATTAAAACATTAAGTAATTTTTTTCCTGTACTTCATAATTTTTGTTGTGTTAAAGCTTTCATAAATTAAAGGTTGTTTAGATGTTAGGCATTATTAATGAACTTTAATTCCTTTCAGTACGGACAGGGTGTACCGCGTAAGCGAGTTACTGGATTTTCAGTCTTTATTGCTGAGTTTGAAAAAAAAAATTAGTCTCGTAGCATTTTTTGGGAATCCGATTCTATAGAGATATTAAAAATTAAACGTCAAATATACAATGCGTAGTGAAAAAACCAACTTTGTGAAAATTTTACGCCTTGTATTTCGCAAATCGGTATTGTTCGTTTGTTGAGGATATGAATACATATCTGAATTATGCATCCAACTTGCTTATTAACCAGAAGTGACGACAACTCTAAAAATGTATGTGGATATGCTGTATATTTTTATACATTTGGAAAATAGGTATCATTGAGATTCTTATGTGCATGGCGGAACGTTGAGAGTGAAAGTAGACAAAACTCTATCAACACAGAGGGACAATAGAGCAGGCGTTCCACGGGGGTCGGTTTTTGCACCAAAATTATATACATGTCCGACTTTCCGCAGTTTACAAACACCAAGTTTGCTATGTATACCGACAATACCGCCATGTACTGCCACAGTCACTATGCTCAGGCCGCTTAGCAGCTGATAAATATGAACATGGTAAGGGTGTCGGAATACTGCATCAAGTGGAACCTGTAGATGAACGTGGCCAAGTCGGAGGTTATTGTTTCCTTTAGAAAAGGAATAAATTATAAATTATTTACACCTGTTTCGATGGGGGCAGCCAAATTCAGCCGAAATTAGACGTAAAATATTTAGGCGTAACTTTGGATAAAGGGTTTAATTTTTGAATAAATGTAATCGAGACGATACGCAAAATCTATTCCCTCTCCAGGAGACTATAACCCCTGATGGCGGGGAATAGCAGACTAAACAGGGATAACAAAAAATTGGTTTACGCAATGATAGTGAGGCTGGCTCCAACATATGCTGCGCCCGCCTGGCATTCCACAAGCGCGTTGACATTACACCAGAGTATTAGAAAATAAATTTCGATGTCTACTAAGTAACTCAATAAGATACACAACCTTAAGGGAATCACGCCAACTTTGCAACGACATTATACCTATAGTGAACTATATTAGAGATAATTCTCAACGACTCTATGAATTTAAACTCTTTGGTAGTCCGCTAACTGCCAACATAACCCAAATAAGGGAGTATAACGTGCCTTTTCGGATAAATGTCAGACGTTACCAATAATTCGACAACCTCTTTATGATATCAAAAACTAAAAATTTTCATCTTTTTCTTCCTTTCTTGTTGTTTATTTTTGTCTTCTAAATTCCCCTCAATGCATGCTTTTGCATGCGTCGCTAATTCTATTATTGTTGATGTTATTATACAATTTAGATTGTTCTGTTTAGTATTTATTGTTTATCGTTATTCTTATGCCCGAATCAGCCCCGCTCCACCCGACCTAGCAATTACCCGTTGCGTTGTACTCATACGCGGGGATGCCATGTCGGCAACGGATTGGTTGTCCGGCAAGATACATATACTCTGTTCATTTTTAATTGGAAAATAAATATTTTTGATTTTTTTGATTTGATCCCGACTTTAGCAATTTGAAAGATAGCTGATACTTATCGCCAACAGTTTTCGAAATATAACCTAATAGATTACGCCGTTATTAAGTTTGTTAAAGTAGGTCTGAAAATGGTAACTAATTTCGCTATTTTTTTCTTGAAAAGGCTGTTCAAATGACATAAAATAACATTCGTATTAAAAGTGTCATACGATTGTTGAAGTTTTTTAAAAAGCCTTATTAAAGTTTTTCTAATAATTAAAAAAAAAATTATTCCGAGATGCAAACCGATATTTAAATATCTAAGGAGCTCTTATAAAATATAATAGGAGGCCATTTCTCTAAAAATAATTCGTCAAACTACAGGTTGGTCCTAGTGCTTCAATACCTTTGCCAGATTTTATAAACGTCCGGTTTTAGATCCAGGCCAATTTGCCAAATCCATTTTTACCTTAGGATTCTATAAGTTAGATTTGTTCTGTTAAAAATAACAATTTTTCTTAGGTAGCTTAGACTATTAT